TGTTTCTTTCAGTAGTTCTTGGTGCAGCGCCCCCACAGGCGAGCGGGGGAACAGGTTGGTTCAACAGGTTGGTTCAACAGGTTGGCTCGACTGTACAGTGCAGTGTGAATGCAAATGCACCAGCTCAAATGTAACAAAAGGTCATGAATATTGGTCCAGAACCAAACCGAGTCTACCGGACTATCAGGTGTGAATGCACCCTAAGACTGAGCTTTGTGGTACACCATGTTGACTGTTAGATAACTGGAAGTAGGGCTGGACCATATCATATCGTTCATGATAATACCGGTAAAAAGAGTTTGCCTGGGCAAATAAATGATATCATGATATGCAAATTTCATGATGTAATACGTCAGGGCGCAGTTAACAGAACCGAGTGCGCCGAACGACCACACGGAACTGCACACCCCCCTCCACCTGTCGGTACTGGTGTAACACTAATAGTTGCACGCAACACTAGCTAGCTAAAAACAAAACGCGCGGCTCAGCTGTCTCTCCCTCGCCCCACACCCCGCTCTGAGCTGCCAGTGCAGGCTGTGTCTCCCTCGCCCTAAACTGCCGGTACAAACACGTGCAGGTCTGTCTCTTAGTTCCACAGTCCAAGGAGCAAGAACAGTCATGTGATCAGAGTCATGTGATCAGAGTCATGTGATCAGAGTCATGTGATCAGAGTCATGTGATCAGAGTCATGTGATCAGAGTCATGTGATCAGAGAAATTAATCATTCCTGCAGGAACAGAAGAAGCTGAAACACCACCAGCTTCAGGGTCATCAGCTGAGCGCCTTGTTACAACTTCTGGAAGTTATAGCTCGTTTAACGTAGGGGTGCACCGATAAATCGTCCGGCCAATTTATAGGCCCCGATTTCCTTAATTTTGAGAAATCAGAAATCGGCCAAAACCTGCATGAGAAACTGATTTTACAGATTTTTTTGTTTTCACAACAATTGTCTAAACTTCATTTATATTTCAGAGCACGACCTCATGACCTGTTAAAACATGTTTGTATTGTTTCTAGGATGGCCCTCACCCTGATAGTCGCTAAATGCTTCGAAAAACTGGTCATGACTCACATCAAAACAACCATCAACATCATCGAGGACCCTCATCAGTATGCATACCGTGAGAACCGATCAACAGAGGATGCAATCTCCTCTGTGGTCCACACTGCTCTCACCTACCTGGAGCAGAAAAACTCTTACGTCCGTATGCTCTTTGTGGACTTCACATCCGCCTTCAACACCATGATCCCCCAAACCCTGATGGACAAACTATCCACACTAGGACTAAGCCCCTCCATCTGCAACTGGGTACTAGACTTCTTAACAAACAGACCACAGTTAGTGAGGATCCACAACCTCTCCTCCTCCACCATAACCCTCAGCACTGGCTCTCCTCAGGGATGTGTGTTGAGCCCCCTCCTGTTTACTCTGCTTGCGTATGATTGTGCAGCTACCCATCCAGGCTGTCACATTGTAAAGTTTGCAGATGATACAGCGGTGGTGGGATGCATCACAAACAATGATGAGTCCAGCTACAGGCAAGAGGTGGAACACCTGGAGAGCTGGTGCAGAGAGAATAACCTTCACATCAATGTGAAGAAGACAAAGGAGATGATTGTGGACTTCAGAAGGAACAAAAACACCTACACCCCCCTGAACATAAGAGGATCTGCGGTGGAAGTGGTCTCCAGCTACAAGTACTTGGGAGTACACATGAATGACAACCTCAGCTGGAGCAACAACACCACCAGCCTGATCAAGAAAGCTCATCAGAGACTCTACTTCCTCAGACGGCTGAGGCGAGCTGGTCTGGGAAGCTCAGTCCTCACCTCCTTCTACAGGTGTGCAGTGGAGAGCATCCTGTGCTCGAGCATCAATGTGTGGCATGGAGGCTGCACAGCTGCAGAAAGAAAAGCTTTGCAGAGAGTGGTGAAGGCTGCACAGAAATCTGTCGGAATCAGCCTCCCCACCATCACAGACATCTACACCTCCAGATGCAGGAAGAGGGCCACCTGCATCATGAAGGACCCCACTCACCCAGCACACACACTTTTTGCCCCACTCCCCTCAGGAAGGAGGTTAAGGAGCATTAAGTGTAGAACCACTAGACTGAGGAACAGCTTCTACCCTGAGGCTGTTAGACTCATGAATATCTAACTAGAATAATCACTGTGAAAAACCATATCATGTTGCTGCTGATCTGTTTCATGTTGCTGCTGATCTGTTTCAATGTTGATGTGTTCATGCGTGCACATCTGCTCACAGACTCATGTTCATGTTTGTGCTGATGTTCAATGTTTTATGTTATGAGTGCTTAGTGTATATTTAGTTGATGTTTTTCTTAGTTCATATCTTAGATGTTATTACTGTTTTTCTTATACATTTTATTGTTGGATGTAACTGGGACCCCGTGTACATAATT